TGCTACTGTTATGAATCATGTAAATATCTGATATGCAGGATGGTCTTAGGTGACCCCTGTGAAAGGGTCGTTCGACCGCCAAAGGGGTCGCGACCCACAGGTTGAGAACCGCTTCTCTAGCCCTTAGTGAAGCAGGTCAGGAGGCTCTTCAACCTCCCAGACTCCTGGGCAGAATGGAGCCCTAAGAGAGACTGTTCTGCTTGCCCAGGACACCAAATGCGCTGCCTTGGTGTCCTCCCAGGACCTCCCAGTAGAGGGGCTGGGGGGCCTTGGTCAAAAACTCAGAAGTGGGCTGGAAGCCCCGACAGTCCAGGTGGGGTTCCTCTTGGGCATTCCAATAGGAACCCACATTTCTGGGACTGAAACTCAAGAAAACACGGCGTGACTTGTTTCTGGGGACCAGGAAGGAATGGAGGTGTTTCTGGAAGTTAATCAGACACCTAACCCCCTGGGCTCCGCAGCCACCTCCAAGCATCTCCCCTCCCAGCATGCCCTGGGTGAGGCTGGCCCACTCCAGGATGAGCAGGAAGGGCACTTTGGGGACTCATTCTTCTCACCCTGAGTTTGGTGTGTCCCAGAGCCCCACAAGAGGCTCTCCTGCATGGACAGGAGCTGCCTGGCCCTGGCTGGAGGCATTCCAGGTGCCACCAGGGTATGCCAGCCATCACCCCGGAATCAAAAAGGCGCCTTCACAGCCCTGTCTCCCCACTCGGCTGTGATCTTAAGGGCAGGGTCACATCTGCGTCCCCAGCACCCAGCTCTGATCACTGCAGTGAGTCACAGGACAGTCCCAGTAGGAGACTCCTTCCCAGACTCCCAGAGGCAGGGACTGGGAGGGGGAGGTGGGCAGGGGCAGGCGGGCATCCAAGAAGGGCCTAAGTCAGAACAGAAGCCCCTCCCCACCCTGACTTCCCACACCTGCCATCCCAACCGCCCCCGAGGTTTCTGGAACACCTCTCTTCCAGACCTGCTTTATGGATTATAAAAAAGAGAATTTCACAAGATTTTCAATTACTTGAATTCCAGGGAGATTTACTTCCAATGTTATTAATAAATTCTAATGTCACCTATAACTTTCAATGGCCCATTAATGAACTTGCAGTTGATGCATTGTAAAAGGCAAATTAAATACTGTCCAGGCAGAGGCTGGTAAATCTAGTGAGTGGTGTGGCTGGAGGTGACAGCCCAGCTCACACTTCCCAGTCTACCTGCCCCCACACTGACGGGTGTGTGACATGGGCAAGTGACCACAGGTCTTCAGTGTCCTTGCCTGTAAAAAGGGACCACAGAACCCACTTCCAGAAACGTCCTGGTATCTGGGTCGAGGCTGTTCTTTATTCACAGATAAATGCAATGAAGGGTCCCAAGTGACCGTTGGAGTCAGGAGTCCCGGCTCTGGCACTTCGGGCTGAGTGGCTATACAAGTTTCCTAACGCCGCGGTAACAACTGCCAGAAATGTGTCCTCACAGTGTTGGGGGCTGGAGTCTGAATTCAAGGTGTCGTCAGGGCCAGGCTCCCTCCGAAGGCTCCAGGGAGAATCGTTCCCGCCTTTTCCAGCTTCTAGTGGCTCCAGGCGTCCCTTGGGCTGTGGCTGCATCCCTCCAACCTCTGCCTCTGTCTTCACAAGGCCCCCACCCCCCCATCACCCCGTGTCTGTCTTGTCCTCTGTGTGTCTCTTGCAAGAGCACTTGCCATTGGGTTTCAGGCCGGCGTGTAATCCAGAATGATCTTGAGATCCTTAGCTTAATCACATCCACAATGACCCTCTTTCCAAATAAGGTCACAGGCAGAGGGTCCAGGGATGAGGACTTGGACATATATTTGGGGTGGGGGGTATCCTTCAGCCTGCAGTGGGCCAGTCACTTAACCTCTCCGGGCTCTCATGTCCACCTTGCCCAACAAAGGTTTGCTCCCCTGAACTAGGAAGAGCAGCTGCCTACTGTTGTCAGGCTGTGTATTAACTCATTTAACCCCCACGCTAACCTGACAAAACAGGTGCTTTAATTGTCTTCATTTTGCAGGTGAGCAAATGAACGAATTCATGCAAAAGGAGGTTAAGGGACTTGCTTAAGGTTGTCCACGTAGTAAGTGGTCGGGATTTGAACCCAAGCTAAGTAAGCCCGCAGCCTACATCCCATTTTTTTTGTAATGGAGCTTTCTTTATTGAGCTATAATTCACATCCTGTTATACTCACCCATTTCAACGGTACAATTCAGCAGATTTTATTATATTCAGAGTTGTGCAATCATCACCACAATCCATTTTAGAACATTATCACCATCCCCCAAAGAAACGCTGTATCATTTATTTATACCTCCATTCCTCCCACTTTCTCTACCCCTAGGCAACCAGTAATCTGCTTTCTGTCTCTGCAGACCTACCTATTCTGGACGATTATCATCATCCCCCAAAGAAACGCTGTATCATTTATTCATACCCCCATTCCTCCCACTTTTCTACCCCTAGGCAACCAGTCATCTGCTTTCTGTCTCTGCAGACCTACCTATTCTGGACATTTCATACAAATGGATTCATACAATATGTGGCCTTTTACATCTAGCTCCCTTTACTTAGCATAACAATTTCAAGGCTCATCCATGTTGTGATATATATCAATGCTTCATTGCTCCTTATGGTCCAGCAGCAGCCTGCACCCTTAACCACTATAGTGACTTGTAAGGTCCCTGGCAGATCTGTTGGATCAGCATATTCCAGAAATCTCAGCCAAATCCTGAGGCTTGATCTGTGAGGATTCTGTAGGATGCTGGGACAACCTCTTACCCTTCTCCCCACAGCACTATCCTCTCTACAAGATTCCTGGCGCAAGAACCCCAACAATGCTGGTACCAGTGGGTGACCTAGAATGCCAGCCATAAGGCTTGGTCACTCCTGAAATCGAGTTGTTCTGCCCTCAACTGGGCGGAGCTTCCTGGCCTTTCTCTTCTCACATTACAGCTCACAGAGAACAGGATATTTGCACAGCACTTGGGATACATAACCAGGTTGCACTCAGCAGCCATGCCCAGCCTGGTCGCCTACAAGGGCCAACACCTGAGCCCCCCTGGAGTCCATCCGCAGCACAGGATTGGGAAGCACGATCTCAAGTGGCAGGGCCTACAGTGATGGCGAACCTATGACACACGTGTCAGGTGACACGCGAACTCATTTTTTTGGTTGATTTTTTCTGTTAAAAGGGATTTGAATCTATAAAATACATATCAAAAATATAAATCTTTGTTTTACTATGGTTGCAAATATCAAAAAATTTCTATATGTGACACGGCACCAGAGTTAAGTTAGGGTTTTTCAAAATGCTGACACGCCGAGCTCAAAAGGTTTGCCATCACTGGCCTACACCTAAAGGATGCTCTTGTTGGATGTGAGGGGGGAGGAGGTGTGCTGGTTCTTCACTGATCAGGCCCCCAAACTACTCTCTCTCTGATGGCTGAGCAGAGGGAGGCAGGGCGTGGAGACAGAATCGCTGAGAAAAGGCACCCGGACAGCACTCAGGCAGGCCTTTGCACCTGGGCTCAGGGAGAAGCAGGCGGCGGTTAGTGGT